GTGCATTACTTGTGGATTATTGTGATGTTTTTATCAGCTGAGCTATAGTGATACAGTGTAAATATAGGGACTATAATGATATGGCAATAAATAGTGATAAACAGGAAAGTACCACAGTGATATTGTTGCTATTTAGTGTTTCAGTGGCATTCAGAGAGTATGAGCCGGTCATCAGCGGTGTGAATGTATTCTTCTTCAGGCTGTGTTCCAGCCGGCACCTGTTATAAAGTGCTGCGGTCGTCTCGCACAATTGGCACTGTAATTTCAAAAAAGGTCACAGTGGCTGTGGTGTAATTCAATATTCTTATAGCGCTGTATTAACTACATATTTAATCACCGAGGGTAGGACACTGACGGAGCGTCCTGGTGTGGCAGGGCAACGGAACATATGCGGACCGAAGTGCTGCTGTCAGCAGCGCATGAGGGATGAGTGCACGGCTCCTTCAAGTGCCTGCTCCCATGATGCACAGCTACCAAATCTGCTGTGTTATACATTCGGTCAGATATCTAGCAATGACCCGTAGTCCACCTGTGTTTTTTTTTTCCTCCTTCAAGGCCCCCTTTTCTCAGTTTCTCAAACAAAGGTATAGATATTACAGAAATAGATGTATAAAAATGGACAAACAGCTTACAAACCTATATATAACTGATAATGTACAGCTATTTATCTCAAAATAATTCTGACAAGGAGGATCAGGATGTGAAGCAGAGGGGTTTTTATCACCCTAAAGGGGGTTATTTTGTGATAGTGACTGACTGACTATACTTACATGCAGTTACTTATCAAATAAATATAAATGGAAGGTTAAAATTGTTCTATTAACTGAGAAGACAGAGTCTGCAAAGAGATAAGAGAAATTAAAATACTATAGCTGTGTATAGCGAAGCGACACTGGTGCATAAATGTGCATCTATATCTAGTCTACAGCGATCACACAACACAACACCAGTTTCAACAAAGAAACTCTGAGATTGTCAGGTGGTTGGAGAATGCAACCCATCATGCTCAGCTGCACACTGTTCATTGTGCGGCTGCAGCATCTGTTTACAGCTCAGCGGCGGTTCCTGCGCAGCGCATCAGGTGGAGTGAATTGGACTTCAGGCAGGAAGCGCCTGGCTCAGCCCTGTTCATTAACGCTGCTATATCGGGCTCCAGCTATCAATGCAGGCTCGCAGCGAGCAAAAGGCATCACCGCACGCCTGCTCGCGACTGAAATTACAGCCGCCTCCAACGGCACACCAGAAAAGAACATTAAACTCAGAGAGACGCACACCAACAGACCGAGCTGACAAGTAAATTGTTTCTAAAGCAGCAGGCAAAGGAATACGGGGAAAGGAGGGGGAACGAAGGGAGATGAGAAGGAGGGAAGGTAAACAAGTGAGGAGAAGGAATCATAACGGACAGGAGTGTGAAGCAATAAAGAGGAAGATGGTTGAATAACAGGGTGATTTGGGGAGGTATCATCCGGACTGATGTGAATTAGGGAGAAAAAGGCTAGAAACGGAGATACAGAGGACCAAAGAGAGCTTGCTGCAGAAGTCGATCATGATAAATTGCGGGAATAAACTACGCTTTACAGGGAACCAGTGTTAATTTCGTTGACTAATAATTTTCGTCAACGACATTTTTTCACCGACGACAACGAGACGATAACGAACTAAAACTCTTTTTGAATGACAAAAACTATGATGTAAATCTATTGACATTTTCGTCAATGAATAAAAACGAGACGAAAATGTTAGGGAGGGACGATTTGGGAAGAGATTCATTCAGAACGAATCTGCTGCGTGGTTCAGAGGTTAGATGCGTACATATGAATTGGCGGGACATAAGCTAACGTACACTTGCTGCACGTCGCATAAAATGTTCAAAAATGTCAATATGTGGGAGTAAGAGAAGAGCAGACATATGGATAATTCTGACGACGCAAGAGAGAATTATTTATAGAAATAAATATGTCTGCTTGAAAGAATGAAGAATATGGTAAACAAGTTGCTATAAAGAATGCATAATTAGCCTATATACCCATTGGTATTTCATTAAAAAGAAGACCATGTTCTTGATCTTTATGAGAAGTGGTTTTATTTAATTTTAACATAAAGGCATGTTGTGTGTCACCGCATTTAAATCGGTGTCTATCATGATAAAACCTTGATATCAAACCTATATGAGTTTGGAAATTTTAGAGAAATGCTTAATAAATGCACTGTAACTAAACCCATTAGATTTTAGCCGACTAAATTTACTGTAGATTTAGTCGACTAAAATCTTATGATATTTAGTCGACTAAAACTAGACTAAAACTAAAAACAATTCAGATGACTAAAATATGACTAAAACTAAATGGCATTTTAGTCAAAAGACTATGACTAAAACTAAATCAAAATTTGCTGTCAAAATTAACACTGCAGGGAACAAACAATATGCTGCCAGTGATGAAAAAACTGATGACACCCTCGATCAGGTGTCCTTAGGTAAAAGTGTACGAGATGAAAAAAGGGTTTTAAATAAAGTGTAGCTTTAGAGGAATAGTTCACCCACACAATGAATATTTATATTTGTCTTAGTTTATTCACCCCCATGTAATTTCAAACCCACATGATTTTTTTTTCTGTGATCACACAATGTGATTTTTGTGTGCGTGTGTGTGATTTTTTTTTCTACAGTACTGTTCTAAAGTTTGAGGTTGTTAAGATAAAAAAAACATTAATACTTTTATTCAGCAAATACACATTCAATTTATCAAAAGTGACAGTAAAGACAATTATAATGCTACAAAGGTTTCCATTTTAAATTAATGCTGTTCTTTTCACCTTTTTATTCATAAAAGAATCCTGGGGGGGGGAAATGTATCACGGTTTCCACGTATCCAACACTGATAATTAGAGCTGGGTGGTATGACGGTATATATCGTTACCGCGGAATAGAGGGTCTATCGTTAGAGCTTTTGCTATATCGTGTATTCCACGGTATGCAAATGTATCTGCATAACATACTGCTTAAACGTTATATTCACCTTTGATTGATAAGGAAACATGCATGAATGAGAAAATAAAGAGTGCTGCACTTGATCGAGTTATTAAGTGCAATATGCAATGAAAAAGAACTCAATGCGGTGCTCGCGCTGACTGACACACACGAAGCACACACTCAGAAAGCGCCTCTCTCAGACAGCATGCGATCGCGGATTTGGGACATGCATGTTTAATAAAGTTATTAAGTGCAATAAGCGGTGAAAAAGCACAATCCGCTGCTCGCGCTGACTGACCCAAAGCCATGTTTAATAAAGTTATTAAGTGCAATAAGCGGTGAAAAAGCACAATCCGCTGCTCGCGCTGACTGACACACAGCCGAAGCGCGCGCACTGAAACCCCTCTCAGACAGCATGGAATCGCGAAAACAGATCTTTTTCCTGTTTTATTGTGCTTGAATGGTCAAATACGCACACAGATATGTCATAATGCCCGTCGTGTGAAGTATTCCCGTAAACACAGTCGGTTATGAGTTAAATAAATGTAAACAGTTGGGTGAAAACAGGATGTGTTTCAGTACATTGGATTGGTCTTAAAAGGACAGCAGCCTTATTTACCTGCTGCTGTCTGTCATTATTAATGTTGTTTGATTGATACAGTGAAGACTATGCAGTGTTTTATTTATACACTTTATTCAATTTCTGTAATATTTCTTACTACATGTTAAATAAACCTAGCCTACTGTAGCTGAATGAATTAAAAGTTTATTTCATATTTATTTGTTCTGTTGTGCTTGTAATTTGCTACTTTTTCTTAATTTTAATAACAAAAAATAAAATAGAAATAGCTATATCGATGTATATATCGTTATCGTGAAATAAAATTTCTCATACCGTGAAATAAGATTTTGGTCATATCGCCCACCCCTACTGATAATAATCAGAAATGTTTCTTGAGCAGCAAATCAGCATATTAGAATGATTTCTGAATCATCATGTGACACTGAAGACTGGAGTAATGATGCTGAAAATTCAGCTTTGCATCACAGAAATAAATTACTTTTTAAAATATATTACAACAAAAAACTGTAAATTTAAATTGTAATATTTCACAATAATTACTGTATTTTTCATCAGATAAATGCAGCTTTGGTGAGTATAAGAGACATTTAAAAATAAATAAATAAATGATTTTATAAAATCGTGCAGACCCTAAACTTTCAAACGGTAGTGAATAATGAAAGTGAATTAGAACTGTCTAACTCCTAAATTCACAATATAAGTGGTTTATTTGACTCTATAAGACTTTAACTTTGGTTAAATTGAGCTGCACAATACTTGGGAATATAGTGCACGTGTCGTATGGACTATTTTTTTGGCAATTTTATGGTACATTTTTGTCATTTTGGAGATTCACAGAACCAGCATCCATTTACTTTCATTACAAGAACAGCCAGGACAAAAAAAAACTTCCTCTAAATCAAGAAAGTCATGTGGGTTTGGTACAACATGAGGCTAAGTAAATGATTTTGGGGTGAACTGTCCCTTTAAAAGCTCATGGGTTCCAATATGACTCATACAATTTAATGTATCCACTTCGATTCTCAAACCCATGATAAAGGAACACAGTCATATAGCAGTTGCTCCTGACTGATGTCTGTCGTTTATCTTGAAATCCTCCTTTCGTTTAACATTATTCATCATTCACCTGAAATAGAGAACCAGTTGATCTGACAGTCCCTTGAATGGTGTCCATCACACAAACAGACAGTTCATCATTCGACTGGAAATACAGACGAGATGGAAAAAACACACCAGAGCCACATGGGAAAAGCACATAAGCCTGCACTGCAGAATATAAAAGTCTAGATGTTTCTGTGTTCCCATAAAAATAACTGTTTTTTTTTTCAATGTTCAGATGCAATTAATAGGCTTATGTGTCCGTTCCACGTAGCTTGGGAATAACCTGGGAATCCACATCAGAACCTGGGAATAAAATCACAAAACACAGGGCTCATGCATGCTTACCTGGAACCAAAGGACCCTCCGACAGCTCCGACTGGACAAACTGCAGCAAGGTGAAAATGATGAGGACTGTGGTACCTGACCATGTGACCTGCATGATTCTTACAGAGCTGGCATCCCTGGATGTCTCCAAGTTTAATCTAGACAGACAAAGAGAAAAACAAAGGAATTAAATGCTGGGAACTTCTGTTAATGCATTTTTGGATGAGATAATCAATGATTCAGTGAATGGTTGTTATAGTCAACTAAAACTATAGGAATACATTTTTGTTACTTGAAATAATGTTACTGAAAATATTTACAAATTTACATTTAACTGAATTATTACAAAAATAATTTAATTCAGCTTATTTTACTCATATTATTTGTCATTTTCATTTAGTTTAACTTTAAGTACTAAAATAACTAAAACGAATAAATAATTAATACAAATAAAAAAACATTTAATAATGTTGGCGTATTAGTAACAAAAAGAGCATGACAAAAACAACAAAATTACTAAAACTTTTAACTAAAATGAAAGTGAAAACAAAATATAAATAAAATCTATTTCAAAATATTAACAAAAATATAAACGCATATCAATGATACCAAATACATATATATATTTTTTTTTTTTTGCTTAATCAATACAGATGCATTGAATCAAAACAGAAAATGTAGTCATTCAGTCTGGTGTCAACAGACATTCATATTTAAAGAGGTGAATTTTGTGATACAGAAGACTGAAAGATTAAAAACCCATTCTCTCATGTACCAAACGTATTTGGATCAATGCTCAAGGCTTATATGAAATCTCATGCCCAGTAGGAATATTGCCTGTTGGTTCAAAATGAATCTGTTGGTAACGCTGATCAACCATCTGCAAAATACAAGTGCACTGAGATTGCATGCCAGCCCAGACCGATCTGAAACCCAAAATCAAAGAGTAAGCATCACATCCTTTGGATGCAATAATATTTTTCAGAGCCGATGAGAACACGCATGACAAAACACAACTGATCCAGAAATATAAAATGACTTTTAGAGGTAAATCTTTTGCAAAGTATGTCATTTTGGTCATGCAATTTATCTTGCTCAACCCAAATCACTTTTGATTCATTGCACACTTGCTAAATGTAAAATAAAAAAAATTATAAAATAAAATAATTCATTTAAAAAGTTATATTTATATAAAA